CCCCCCCGCCCTCCCGCCCCCTCTCCTGGAGCCCCACTTTCTCCCTGGTCGTCACCGCAGTTTAAGGCCGACCGGTGAGGAGGGGTAGGGGAGAGGAGGTAGTAAAGCTTGCGATGTACTGACGGCCGGGGGAAAGAAGAGGGGGAGGGAAAGAGAAAATTGGCAAAATCGTCCCACCCCTCCAAGGAATCGCCTTGTTCCCGTCTATGACTATTAATGACCTCCTGCTTTGATGGTTGCCCACAATAAAGCTGGGTTGACCATGCGTTTTTGCTGTGCAGCGCTATAGCGCTGCTACAGCGAACAAAAACGCATATTGCGACGAACTCTGGTGTGCATGTGTGTGTGTGTGTGTGTGCGTGTTGTGTCTGTCCGAGTATTTCAATTCAGCAACCACGCGAGCTCCGGAGCCAAAGTTTGGCCAGCGGGTTCCCTGGCCAAGTGCTACTCAAGGACCGCGGTACTGATTTTCACGCCCATCTGGGCCCCACGTACGGCCTCGTGAAAATTTGGCGGGAAAATGACTAACTCGGGAACCAGAAAGGCTGGGAGGCTGAAATTCAGTTTTTTTAAATTCAGTCCCCAGTTGTGCCTAGTTCAACGTACGTCCCCGTAAAAATTTTTGAGAGAAAATTCGCTAACACAGGAGCTCGGAAAGCTGGGAGGCTAAAATTTTAAGGGGATGTTCCCAGCTTATGTGCAACTTAAAGATTTCAAATTCAGCCCCCGCACGTGCGGCCCCGTGAAATTTTTTGGCAGGAAGATTTATTAACTCGGGAACCGAAGAAACTAGGAAGATGAAATTTTGGCAGGATTTTCGCCTTCCAGGTGCATGCACGTGACAGTTGTATGATTAACTTTCTGAAGTTCGGGAACAGTATGTCATAAATTCTAGCTATTGTAATTCCAAGCGATCTTACAACAGCACGAGATATTGCAAAACGCATGATCGCACGGGTGCGCCCAGTGCGCGTCGCCAATAATTTTCTAGAATGCTCCAGAAGCCAATTCTCCACCAAAGTACAAGAAGAAAGAAGATTAAATTGCCAGCAGCTTGTTGTGAACTATTATTAAGACTGAACATTTCGTGTGGTATGTAACTATTGCCGTAGGGCTTCTATACGCTTTAAATATCATGCGAATAACGCAGTTATATCATGCGTCTAACGCGCCGTCATAAAAATATTGTTATTTTTTTCTCAGTAATACTTTTTATACACTTTTCATATATGCGGGTGCAAAAACGGATATTGTCGGAAGGCTGTCTGTGTGTGTTTGCACTTTTTATCACCCACTTTCAACTCGAGAACCAGAAAAACTAGAGGGCTGAAACTTCGGGACTATGTGTTCACACCAAGTATGAACCTTCCGTTTTAATATCATCGGCGTACGCTTGGGTCCCACATGCGGACGCCTTAAAAAAAACATTCAAATTTTTTGGCGAGAAAGCGATCTCGGAACCAGAGAAGATTGAGAGCTGAAATTCTGCAGGGATATTCTCTGTGCATGTAAGCTAAAGATTTTAAATTCAACCCCCCGGTGTTCGTGGTTCATAAATACAAACACACAGTTTCACAGTTTTAAACGTATCTCCCTGTCCACATACAATTCAAAGATTTCAAATACAGCCCTAAATTGGGCGTGGCACCCACGTGCGAACACATGAAAGTCTTGGCGGGAAAATTGCTAACTCGGGAACCAGAAAAGCTGGAAAGCTGAAAATTTAGGAGAATACTCCCTGTCCAAATACAACTTAAAGATTTTGAATTCAGTCCTCCAGGTATGCGTGGTTTTCGTGTACGGACATTGAAATTTTTGGCGGAAAAATTACTCATTGAACAGGTCATTTTCAAAGAACGATCGCTAAACGCAAATTGTTAATTCTCGTTTATGCAAAATTTATGATGGTTTACGGCAGTGAGCGCATGAGATAGGTGTGAAGTAGCAACCATTCATGCAATTAGCGACCTAACTGCTTTAAGTTTGCTGCAAAAACACATAACCGCGCCGCAAGCTAAGTGTGTTCCAGCCTGGGTTTTATTCCGTTACCTCGCTGTATTTATCTGTGGGTTATTTTGATCAGCTGACGTCTCTTCCTAACGCGGTTTTGTAGTATCAATGCAGCCGACAGCTTTTCCGCGCTTGCAGTAAACGAAGCTCAACACCTCGAGAAGTTGGAGGAGAAGAGAGAATGAGCCCGCTGGTGATCCTAGTGACTCTTCTGCTTTATTTCTACGACTTCCTCCAAAAATATGCCGAATGTGCCGCGTTCCACTCATTGCTTATATGTCCCTGCGAACTATTGTTATCAGTACTTCAGATTCTCCTCACTAACAGCTTCTGTTTCAAAGATTACATCCCAGTAGTTAATTTACCTAAATGTTACAAGGGCACCGAAGACCACAATGAGTCCTCGGCCGTCATCCCCGAATTTATCTATGGATTGCGAATTAGATTTATAAAATTAAAGCTGTTTTGTTTATAGCCGGATGGCAGCTTAGAGCGATTGTTGCGCGAAAGCGAAATCCTTCGGCAAGCATTTGGCCATTTATTCGATTACGTAATTCTCAATAACGACATCGACGAGACGATTCGACAGTTAGAGCTGGTTGTCGAGAAACTTCATGCCTGCCCGCAATGGCTGCCAGTATCCTGGGTTTATTGATTCGTATCGGTTGTTCCCCATCTCTCTTGCGCACCGCCGTAGTGTGCAAATCTATTCATTCTTGCTCAGCAGTGCTTATTCGCTTGATTAGTAAGAATTATTAAACACACTGACCTCAGCTTAGTGAATTCTACTTTTCATAGTTACAGTACGATCACTTATCAGAAGAATCAGGGCTTCTAGAACATAGGAAAATGCTTTACTACATATTGAATTTCTTACTTCTAAGTGATTCGAAGGAAACGGAAGGAGATGCTGTTACAACTCGTTGCCTACTGGAGAAAATAACTTACATTTTTTGGCTTTCAAGCTTAATGCGCTTCAGCGAATTAGCCGGGATGGTTTCCTTTTGCAAACCCTGAGCGGAGCATTTCGTAAATTCAGGTCTGTTGGTAATAAAACTGAACGATCTAGTATTTAACTGTTTTATTTTACTGTGTTCTGACATCAGATTTTAGGTCCAGATTCACGCTGGTACTTTTATTTCAAAACGGAGCGGGGGCTTGAAATTCGGTTTTGATACAGTAACACCTTATGCGTTTTAGCGTTTGAATCTGCTAAAATTTCATAAAATCCAGTCTAAGAAATGAATCGTACCATGGAGCTTCTGCTTCACATTGTTATTTTTCTTGATATTTGTTATAGTACTGCTAGAGCTTGGGCCGGGAGATGGCTGTTTCTCTTCCTTTCACATTTAAAACAGTAAAATTATGGTGCGGTCTCAAAAAAGTTTTTTGCATTAAAAAGAAACGCAGAAACTGGAGACAGACACCCAAATTACTATCAAAGCAATTCTGAATTTAGACAAAAAAGCGCGCTTTTACACGAAGTTTTCCTAGTGAAATTTACCGAACTTAAAATTAAACCAAAAGCTAAAAAATTAACTGTGAGTGCCAAATGCTATTGGCAAGCAAAGAATTAATCAGGAACTTCGAATTTAGTGCAGTATCAGCAGAAAATTCTAATTGAGTGGGGGAGCGGAAAGGAGCGGGGAGGAGGGGCAAAAGTAGGAAAAGCAGCTAAAATTCGAAAAGCACATTTCTCTTTGCTGAATCTGTGAGCGCTGCTGAGTCACCGTTCAGTTTCATACGAAACTTTTCTTGTGCAGTGTCTTTTTGTTCTTTGAATTTTGTTTCAGTGAATTTTTTGGACCATCCAATAAATTCATCTGCGAAAAGTATGCGAATGAACCTGTATCTCGTTCACTGTTTTTTTGATTTCTGACAATAATCGGGCCCGTTTATTTCGCAGAATCAGAAACCATTCAGTACAGAGCTTCCAGTGTTGGCTTGGAAGTATCAAATTATTTGAAATAGCAAAATAGTTTGCGATGGAATCGGCATCGAGTTACATTCATAGTGAAGTCGGACAGTGTTGCTTTTTGTAAAACGTAATGAAAAGATTCATGACGACACATGGTGCAGGTGCCGTCAGTGATAATGACAATGATATTGACTGGACAAATGGAGTAGTGTGGTAAGTCCGTTCCTGTAAATTGTTGATTCCGGAAATCTGCAAAAACTGAGACGACATCTGCATACTGTGTGTTCCTTGGAAACGTCGTTGTACCGCATCTTGATAGGATAATGATACAGGCACTGACTCCCAGTGACTGTCACTGCAAACCATTCACATAGTGAGCTTTTTGATTTAAATTAGTGCTTTAGCGGAGCCGGAACTTATTGAAAGAGGAGTAGCTTTAGCAATTCCTTAAAGTAATGTGCACAAACGAAACCATTTTTTCCACTACGAAGTCGACTTGATGAGGAAATATTGTTGAAACTGAATAAGCAGTGGACGTAAGTTACACTAATTATGGGAAAAAGCAGACACTTAGCGGTAAAGAAAGGAACAAACAAAAAAGAGCGACAACTGTCCTCTGCTGCTTGCATTTCTCCCCGCCTGTTTGGTACATCGAATAGTACTACCAGTGCGCAAGAGCTAGTGTTTTGAGCAGTAACGAGATTGTTTTTTTAAAGCGAACGGTAGGCAAAGACATTTTTGGGAAAATAGAGGAATAGAAGGATTTCACCTAAATGTCGTGTGTATGAAGACATTTTATGACGCAGTTTGTGTTTCATCCCTTAGCTGTATAAATTGCACCGTTTCTAAAATGGGTCGCGATCTGAGCACATATGCGCTGGAAAACGCGGTTTGCCTTTTGGCTAGACTGTTAAACATTTTTGCCACATGTACGGTTATGTGTGTTGAAGCGAGTGCATTGGATTCCATGGTGACTGGTGATTCCTCAGTGTGTGTACGGTGGGGTGAAGCTCTGCCCGTCCTGTGATCCTATGCATAAATGTAGTCGCAGAAGTGGATAGCAGCGTCTGGAAGAGAGTATTGTGAGCCGGTCAAGATTCACGGTCTGGTGCTATGTTAGAGTATATTGTGTGTAAAATGGGTTTTTTTATGCGTTTTTTGCAGCTATGCAATGCAGAAAACGCACATTGACAAGGGGTTGTCTGTGTGTGCGTGTGTGTGCCTGTGTGTTCGTCTGTACCGATTTTTCATCTCGAGACCCACAGAAGCTACAGGGCTGAAACTTGGGGAACTTAATCTACATGCGTGTACGGGCTCCCATCTCCGGAATGGGCGCTCTTACCCGCGTGATACCCACGCACGGCTCTGTGAATGTTTTTTTTTACGGGTAAGTCGCTAACTCGAGAATTAGTAAAGCTTTAGAAAGCTAAAGTTTTACAGGGACGTCCCCTGCCCAAGTAAGTCTGAATGCGCTTCAGACCAGTCTTTGGGCACGCGTGGTGCTCACATACGGGTCCGTAAAATTTTCACGCGAGTAAGTCGCTAACTCGATAACCTGAAAAGCTAGAAGACTGCAATTTTAAGGAGATGTTCCCCGTTTCACGTAAGTCTCAACGAGCTCAAACCCGGGCGTCGGGCATGCGTGGTACCCACGTACGGGCCCGTAAAATTTTTTTCGAGTAAGCTGTTAACTCAGGAGCCAGGAAAGCTAGAAAGCTGAAATTTTAAGGGGTGTTTCCTGAGAGTTCTGGCAGCCAGTCTTAATTTGTTTAGCTAGAAACATTTGCCGGAAAAACCGGTGCCTAGCGACAAAAAATGCGGAGAACCATGCAAAAAACGCATCTTTGCATGGGCGGCCCGTGCGTTAGCCAATTACTTTTTTTTTAATAAATTTGTATATCGATTCGCTGGGCTAAGCATGTGTGTATGTATGTATGTGCTTATATGCATAGAAAATGAAGAGTTTAAGGCGGATGCGTTTAGACTATCTGGATTTTAAGTTCAGTTTCAGAAACAACACTGAGAAAAAACTCTGCAAGTACAGCCGACCTTTTTGCAGATGGTATGCAGATAGAAGCCCAGGAATTTCGGGATTTTTTACCTCATCTCCCTGGATTATACAGGAGTGTGCAGGATCCAAGTCTGCGATAGCATTGGTCCCGTACGGGGTTGAGAACCACGCCCTCGGAACTACAGATTTTGAGGTGATTTATGCGAACACATGCTCACAGACCTATTCGTGTAATGTTTAAATTATACAGATAAATAGCGGCGCGCACCTGGGTAGCCGGCGTGATCAAGCGTTTTGCGCATTTTCGTGCAGCCGGCGATTACCTGTTAGAAATTACTGTCTTACTGTTTGATACGTACAAAAATAGCCGATTTGTTGTCTGGCTCCCACGCTGCGAAATTCCCCAATAAAAATTTCACGTTTCGCTACGTGAAAGCTGAATTTGAAGTCTTGGATGAAGAACATCCTTCCAATTTTCAATCTCCTAGTTTTCCTCCTTCCGAACAAGTGTTTGTGAGCCCCTGCATTTACAGAAAATGCCCTTTTAAATTTCAGCCTCATAGCTCTTTTAGTTCTCGAGATGATAATTTTCTCCACCGAAACATTCGCGGGGCTACACAAGAGACTCAGGCGTACATGAAGACTGAATTTGAATTTGCGAGATCGCATGTGGGCAAAGGACATTCTCCCAGAATTTCAGCTTCCTATTTTTTATAGATTCCAAGACAGTCATTTTCCGCTCCGAAGCCTTCATGGTTCTGTAGGCGAGACTCACGCTTCACTGAAAACTGAATATGAATTTGCAGGGTTGCACATGGGTAGGAAACATTCTCTTAAATTTCAGATTCACAGCTTTCGTAGTTCTGAGATAATATTTCCTCCGCCAAAACATTCATGGGAATGTACGTGACATCGGCGTGAACGGGAAGGTTAACTTGAATTTCCAGGGTCTCACGTGGGCAGGGAACAGTCTACAAAAATTTCAGCCTCCTAGCTTTTGTTTTCCCAAGTTGAAAGTGCGGGACAAAATGCCTCGGATATACAAACACGCGCACTTACACACAGACAAACACGCACAGACAAGAGCGCGACAGTATGCGTTTTACGCTGCTACTACACAGCGTAAGTGCATCAAAACTAGAAAGGTTAAAGTGGGGCAAAAAAAAACAATTTAATGAAAGTTACTCCGGTCAGGAAGTGTTATTCTCGACTGGCACTCCGAGATCGGTCAGAAAGAATCGAATTTAATTATCATCCTCTTTTTGTTGATAACTGCGTTTTTTTGTAGAAACACTCGAAATTTGTAAAATACAGGATTAAGATAAACAGCGAACCAATATCACTAGTGTCTGGCCAAATTGATTCCCAAATTTCAAAATATCAAATAAATACAAAACATTTATGCTCGACGATACGAAAGGAAATAGCCAAAAATCTTTTCAAAAACGCTCGCCTGACTGGGGGCCGTTTTGTCGGTCTGCTGGCTGACGCTTCTGTCACTATCATCCTTTTCATCCTTTTTGTCAACGTCAGTGGCCTCCCCTTCCTTCTTATCCTTGTCTTCCTCTTCCTTGTCCCTTTCTATGCTACCACCACCGCTTTTCTGGGGCGTTCCCCTTTCCCTATCATCAGCACCTTCCTTTTTTTCCTGCCCCTCTTTGCTTTTATCAGCCTCTTCTTTTTTCTCCTTTTCCTTGTCTTCATCGGCACCCTCTTTTTTACCCTTTTCCTTGTCTTTATCGGCACTTTCTTTCTTATCCTCATCTTTGTCCTTGTCAGCAACTTCTTTTTTATCCTTTTCCTTGTCCTCTTCCCCCTCTTTTTTTTCAATTTCCACTTTCTCCTTGGCCGTTTTCTTTTCCTCGTCTTTTTTTTCATCTTTTCCCTTTTCCTTAACCTTGCTCTCTCCCTCTTCTTTTTTTTCATCTTTCCCCTTTTCTTTAACTTTGGCTTCTCCCCCATCTTTTTTTTCATCTTTCCCCTTTTCTTTGGCCTTATCCTCTCCCTCTTCTTTTTTCTCATCTTTCCCCTTTTCCTTGACCTTGCCCTCTCCCTCGTCTTTTTTTTCAGCTTTCTCCCTTTCCTTGACTTTGCCCTCTCCCTCATCTTTTTTTTCAGCTTTCTCCTTTTCCTTAATCTTGTCCTCTCCCCTATCTTTTTTTTCATCTTTCCCCTTTTCTTTGTCCTTATCCTCTCCTCCCTCTTTTTTCTCATCTTTCCCCTTTTCTTTGGCCTTATCGTCTCCCCCCTCCTTTTTTTCATCTTTCGCCTTTTCCTTGACCTTGTCCTCTTCCCCACCTTTTTTTTCATCCTTCCCCTTTTCCTTGCCCTTGTCCTCTCCCCCCTCTTTTTTTTCATCTTTCACTTTTTCCTTGACCTTTTCTTCTCCCCCCTCTTTTTTTTCATCCTTTGCCTTTTCCTTGACCTTGTCCTCTCCCGCCTCTTTTTTTTCATCTTTTGCCTTTTCCTTAGCCTTGTCCTCTCCCCCATCTTTTTTTTCATCCTTCCCCTTTTCTTTGTCCTTGTCCTCTCCCCCTTCTTTTTTTCCATCTTTTCCCTTTTCCTTGCCGTTTCCGCTAGCTTCTTTTTTAACCTTTTCCTTATCCTCGCCACCTTTTTCCTTCTCCTTTTCACCGGCGCCGCCTTCTTTTTCACCTTTTTTTTCACCTTAAAATTTTTCAGTTTAAAACATTGGCTGATAAGCATACACACAACTGGCGCCGGAAATTTGTATAAGAGAACTCAACCAAAAAATACTGGGAACTTAATTTTGACTGTTTTCCTTCGTCCTGCTTAATCAGTAATTGATATTCATTAAAAAATTTTGACCTACTGTAACAGTCGGCATTGTGTAGCAGTGAGTGGTACCACTGGAAGGGCGCTGTTCGTGTAACCTTCGAAAGATGTGCTTATGTGGTGGGAAGAGGACGATTACCAAAAATGTTTTCGATTACTACAACATTGTTATGTTCGGCGTTCTGCTGCATCCCTGCGGAGCTAAAACTAATTTTCTAGGCAATTTTAAAATTTCTCCATAAACGATTAAACCTTATTCGTTCTCTCGCTGTTATTAGCGGACGTATTTTACCTACTTTATTGTGCAGTTTCAACAAGCATAATTATAGTTAAGCTCTGAAGAGATAACTTAACTGATTAATAGATAGGATATTGCTGTAACCATGAGGAAAGAGAAGGCCACAAAACAGAACTCCGCGTTTCCTACTAGAAAACTCGCGAATTGCCGAATTTAGCTACCAGAGTTCTTTGCAGGAGGAAGAACAACAACAGACTATTTTCAGTGACTACTGGTGACGAACTGACGCACACCATGCGGCTGGTCCGATCATGCCACATAGCTGCACAATTAACTACCTGAACTTCGAGGACCAGTACGTCACAAATTTTTGCACTATTTCGTGCTGAAATAAGATCGCAAGAAATCCCAGTATCTAGAATTTGTGACGTACTGGTCCTCGAAGTTCAGGTAGTTAATTGTGCAGCTATGTGGTATATCAGTTCTAGATGTCGACTTCAGTGTCCCGAAAAACGGAAAGTTGCTCGTGTGCAAAAAAGACCCCACGAGAAGAGCCGAATTTGAAACCTTTTAGTCGCACATTAGTAGAAGACACTCCCTTAAAATTCGGACTTTCCAGTTTTTTTTTGTACCCCAGTTAGCAACTTTCGTGGCAGAACTTTCACATTTCCGCAAGTGAGACCTAGACGTGCGCGACAGTGGTTCACACCTAGCCAAAGAACACACTGGTAAAAATTTCAGTGTCAAAGCTTGCGTGGTTGCCGAGTAGAAATACCGGGACGGACGAGCACACACACGCATATAAAAGCAACAAGCATATATGTATATATATATATATATATGTATATATATATATATGTATATATATATATGTATATATATATATATATATATATACATATGAGCCCAGGATCCAATGATCTAACACTCGTGCGACTGACGTGTGAGAGTAACCCAGTAAAATCACAGTATGGGACGTTAACACTGACTGGCCGAGCGATGCTGGCAGTTTGAAGATGTGTGTGCAGCTGAAATGCGCCGCTATCTAGCAAGATCGCAAGAACTCAGGACTAGGAACTTCTAGTTCTGAATTTTCATGTTACTCGAAAAACCCTGAGGCAACGCGCATCAGCGTTTCTGGTGCGATCATGCGTTTTTGCGATCTGATAAAAAGGCAACATGTCTGAAGAATGTTTCCTTTCAGAATTTTTTTATCACGCAAGTAAAATTTTTTGTTTTGAAATGCGGCGTTCAGTCCTATAGTGCTGCACGACATAGAGGAACGGCCAAGGATCGTGACATAAAAAGATTGAGATTTTTTGTTTGCCTGATTGCAAGGCTGAAAAGCTGTGCAATTTTGAATTCCATGTGCCCTCATGTGCATGAGAAGTAAACGTACATTAGAGACGGATTTAGACTTTCGGGATCGCACATGGGCAGGAAACACCATCTTAAAATTTCATCTTTCTAGCTTTTTCGATTAACACGCTGGAAAAATTCTCGGCAACGCTTTCACACACATGAGACTCAGGCGTAGTTCGCACATGAGACTCAGGCGTAGTTAGAAACCGAACTTGAAATCTCCAGTTTGTAGCGGAGAGCATCTCCTTAAAATTTCAATTTTCTAACATTTTTGGTTCCCGAATCAGCAATTCTTCACTAAATTTTCACGTGTTCATACGAATAGCATAAATGCGCATAAAGGCTGACATCACGTTTCTGTAACTGTGCTTGGCCAGAGAACACACTGGCAAAATTACAGCATCTAAGCTTTCTTGGCTGCCAAACTGAAATAATCGGACGGACATACACAAACATACACATACACAAATACACACATGCACAAACATACACATAAACATACACACAAACATACACACACACATAAACATACACACACCCACACAAAAAGATACACACACAAAGATAACACACACATAAACATACACGCACATAAACATACACACGCATAAACACACACATACACAAATATATACACACACAAAAACATAGGCACACACACACA